GTTTAATTAGATGCCTCATCCTCCTTTTCCTGAGAATACTTTGCTTTTATTCTGTCACAATTTGTGATTTACTGGCTAATTTGAACTGTAGTTTTCTTCACAGTTAAAAAACCACCCCCATATATTCAGATTTGTGACTGTGATTAATGTATGGAAGAGAAGATAGGGATATAAAACTATGAAAGCAAGAGAAAAGGACCAGTACCTGTATGTCAGCTGTGTCACAGCTCTCCTATTTATTCATCTGAATGATGGATAAATGGCAAAACTCCCATTGGTTTCAGTGGGAGCAGAAGTTAACTCGAAATGAGCAGCTTTCCTGCATGTCTAATATTCTGAGGACTCAGGTGCTAATTTGCGAAGAAAGATCAACACAGATGGGAAAAGTTATGGCGTGTGGAAGAATAGCTGGTTGAAATGCAGATCCACACAGTAAGGGCCTAATCTGCTTGATGCCACATACTGACTTCAGTAAAAGTCAGGGCCCTTGCAGGAATCCAAGCTAAATGCCAGTAAAAAATCTAGACAGAGTCTAGAGAAAACCCCTCACTGCTGTGAAATTGTGTGCACATACAACCTTCCACATACAGGTTTGTACATATGTTTTCCTTAGAATAAAACATTAATAAAAGGAAAATGGCATCCAGGAAGACAAAGCATCCAAGACAACCCATCTGCACTCTTGTCATATCATAGACTTGGACAAACCTAAAGCTGCCGATACAACTGCTCAAGAAGTGTGCCAAGGGAGCAGATGCTACCTCTGCAAGGATATTTTCCAAGTTTGGCATTCAGGATCTTGTGATTACCATCCAGAGAGGAAGAGGTGAGGAGAAGAAGTGGAATGATGTTGCCTTGGCACCTCCTGGTGTCAGCTTTCTTGTTCACTTGAGTTAGGTCTTTGCAGTTCTTTCTTTCTTCTTCGGCTGAAGTAAGGCATCTGAGGTGGAAGATGAAAAGGAAAGCAGCTATGTATGAAAGCAGAACACTGTGAAACTTGATATTACCCTTAAAATATTTATTCAAAGGCAAATTCATGAATGTATTTAGATTTATGATGCATAATCATGTTTGAGTTAGCAAAGGGCCCACAGAGGTACCGGATAAATCTGTGAGATCAGAAGCCAGTGGGGATTTTGTGAACTGAAGTTGTTGGAATAGAAGATTGTTACAGTTTTTAGAGAGCAGCCTGAAAGCGATGCCTTTGGAGAAGAGCAGGTCCTACAGCACCTTTGTTGCCTCAGAAGGCTGGGGCATCCCTGCAGAGCACTGCATGGGTGCTGAGTGAGCCAGCATCAGTGCAGTTGGTTCTGTCAATGTCTGAGGAACAAGGAGCTGCTTTTGTGTAGACTCTTGCTTACAGCAAGATCAGGTCATTCACAGTGAGCCATTGCAGCCTGTGCTGAGGCTGCTGTGGAACACAGTGTGGGAAATGGGGAGAAATAGATTCTGCTCTGGTACCACTGCTAGCAGCCAGTGGGGCTTAGTGCTCTGCCCTGTGATCAGCACCACCCACTGCCAATCATAGATATTTTCCTTTTTAAATATTTTTCACTATAGAACTGCTTAAATATTTCTCACTGTTTTCATTCCCTTTCATTACTAATTATAAAAGGGTAACATGGCAGCCAGCAATCGTGTATTCAAGTGCTCAGCCTCTTTGGTGCATTGCTTGCAGCCCAGAAAGCCAACTGTATCCTGGGCTGCATCCAGGGCAGCATGGCTGGCAGGGCAAGGGAGAGGGTTCTGTCCCACTTTCAGTACTGCATCCAGCTCTGGAGTCCTCAGCACAGGAAAGACATGGACCTGCTGGAGAGTCCAGAGAAGAGCCACAAAAATGATCAGGGGTCTGGAGCACCTCTCCTGTGAGGACAAGATGAGAGAGTAGTGGTTGTTCACTGGAGAAGAGGAAGCTCCAGGGAGATCTTACAGCACATTTCAGTATGAGAGGGGGCCTTTAAGAAAGATAGACAAACCTTTTAGCAGGATGTGGTGTGATAGGATGAGGAGTAATGGCTGAAAACTAAGAGAGAGTCTATTTAAATTAGATACAAAGAAAAAATTTTTTGCAACGCTGGTGGTAAAACACTGGAACAAGCTGCCCAGAGAGATGGTAGATTCCCCATCCCTGAAAACATTCAAGATCAGATTGGATGGGGCCGTGGTTGAAGATATCCCTGCTCATTGCAGAAGGGTTGGACTCCATGACTTTTAAATGTGCTTTCCAACCCAACTAATCTATGACTCTATAATTCATGATCCATGTTATGCTGACATTAGACCATATCTGTTGAAAGGTCCCTCTCTGAGCAGATCTGAGGAAACACAAACATCTGGCCAGTAATGGTCTTCGTTTACAAAGGTTTGTAGTTTCTCTCAGGCTCATGCTGATAAATAACGTTCCAGTGATTTCTTTTACATGAGAAAATATTCCTTGAGGCCGCGTTCACAGTTTTGTCAAACTTCCTTGGCTTTTGGACTAAGCGCACTTTTAATCACACCCTGCCAGCAGAGGAACTAGTAAGCGATGACCTTTGTTTTGTTTTGGGGTTGGAGCCGGGGGAGAAGGAGGCAGCCTAAAACCCGATTCCCCAGGCTCATCCCTGCCGAACCGTGACTGCCCCGCACTCTCCCCACGCTGGGGGCAGTGCCAGAACCTTGGCTCCGGCCCCGAGGAGGAGGAGAGGGGCGAGTGAGGGCGCCTCAGCTGTGGCCCCCAGCTGCTGGCGACCACGCAGGGGCTCGGGGCAGGAGCCCCAGCCCGGGGAGGAGGCTGCGCCTCTCCGCCCCGCTGCGATCACGCGCGAGAGAGCCCCGTGTTTTCGCAAAGCGGCATTTGCCCTTTCCAGCTGCTGGACGCCACTAAAGGTCACCCAAAGTGATCTAAATGCATCGTTTCCCTGGTGTGAAGGATGAAGCAGGGAGCCTTTGAGTAAAGGCGGTGCTTTTTTTTTTTTTTTTTTGTCCTGCGAGTGTTCCCTTTGCTGTTTCAGTTGCTGCAGCTGAGTGCTGTCACTGGGGTTGGGATCAGCCTCCGCTCGCTCTCTGTCCGTGCCGCAGCCTCTGGCATGGCCAGGCTCCTGCTCGCAGCCCTGGAGGGACTCTCTCAGGTGTGAACTCAGGTGCAGACCCAGGGACTGAGACATCGGTCTCATCAGCTCTATGTGTCCCGGAGCATTGCAGAAACCCCAACCAACATCGGCTAAGGAGGAGGTTTTATACTGGTTTTGGCAGGGTGTGTTTAACTGGGGGTTAGCAGTGTCCCGAGCAGAAAACCACTGGAACCAAATCTCATTTGCTCGGATTGAAATATAGCAACCAAGGCAGATCATCCTGTCTCATTGTTTTTATGTGTCCCTGAGTCTAAAGTCATTTTTAAAATGTGAGTGATGCAATTTCTTGCATCTTTCATTTAATATGCTGCTTGGTAAACAGTGTTTTAGATTAGTATATTTGTAATTTAAATGAAGACCATACATCAAGTCAAGTCAGAAAAGAAGGAAGAAGTTTAAGGAATGATTGATGCCTCTTTCAGTGTTATGCCCTCTTGAAAAAGAAAAAAGAAAGCGTAAGGAGAGGGGAGAGGTGAGATTATTGAGGATCTATTGGGGTAAGGGAGAAAGAGAGAAACTGTTGTTCATGGGCAGAAATACACTATTTTTAAAAGCACAGTCAGCTCTGATAGCTGAATCTGTTTTCTTCAAGCGCACTAATAAATTCTGCCTAATTCATTTTTTATTCTCTCTTGGGGTCTGCTTGCAGATTTGCCTCAACAAAGGAAGCATCATGTTACTTCTTTTAAATAATTGATGGCTCTTGGTCCAAGCCAGCTTGAAGGAAATTCAAAAATAGGTACTGATTGAGTAAATACCCTGCCTCCCCCTCTGCTCCCCCCGCCCCCATCCCTTATTTATTTTTGCAGCCTGGGTGACTGGCAGTTGCCGATGATGTCATTTGGGTACACTCAGCACTTAGCAGCTCTGATTTCATTTATGTATTTATTTATATTTAAGAAAAGGAGAAGCTGTTAATTGTAAACTGTCTGATGGAGATAAGAGCTCTTAATAAATCATCAGCAACCTTGTGCCATAACAACCAGAGATGGACCTTAACAGGTTGAGGTTGGAATCGGTACCAAGAGAGGCACTGGGGAGACTTGTGTGTATCCCACTCCTCCTGGCTGTGGGATGTGCTCTTCTCAGGGCACTCCTGGGGCAGTGCTTTCCACAGTGTTGTTGTTTGCAGGCTTTGGCATGCCATCTCTGAGAGTAGTGTTGTTCCCATGGAATAAGTCATCTCCCTGGACTGCATGGATTTGGTGAAGCTCTGTGATGTCATCTATAGGAGTACACCCTTTATAATTTACCTTTTAAATTATTAAAAAAAAATGTGGTCCAATTTAACAATGAGGAAACCCAGAAGTATTTTTCTCCTTTTTTTGTCTAGGCAGGATGTTCTTACACCAAATATTGCCGCAGTAAGAACATTTTTTGTGTAAAATACTGCATAGGAGAAAACAGTGCCAGAGTTCACATCTAGTGAGGTTTGCATTCATACTCTGACTTGCAGTCGACATGACTTTATGCCTCTCTAGTTTTGATAGTAGTGAGTGAAAGGACTGAAGAAAAGTTTCTGGAACGTGGCTTCTGTGTGAAATTTTTATCCCTCTTAGATTTTATTTTCTTTGTGAGGTATGTCTGTTTCATAATGTTAATTATGCAGTGTTGAATAAGCGATGTTCAATTATAAAAAGGACTGATAGAAAAAAAAATAGGGAGCTTTAATTTTTTTCCAAGCAGGCAAATCCTCCTGCAGGTCACACCTTGATACAATATTTTAGTGCATGAAACCAGCACTCACCTGGTAAATAACATAAGGTCTTCTTGACATTGCAGCCTTACGTGGGCACACATGCCATTCAGCTGAACTACTCTAGTGTCCAGTACCTTGGAGAAATTGCCAAGTATTTCCTCTGATGCCGTGCTTGTCACCCACGCTCGCGGCGCTCCAGCCGTGGAGCAGTTTGAGTGCCGACAGCCAGAGTGGGATCAGGCAGGGCCTTCCCAGCTGGAAGAGCAGAGCACCATCAGGGGCATGTCCACATGAGTAGGTGCAGATGGACCGGAGCGGACCGGACGTGGCTTGGCTCTGGTCTGGAAGCCGAGGCGCTTCTTAGTGCAATGCTGTCATCAGACAAATACTCTTATTGTTTCTTATTAGTAGTGTTAGATCTAGAAGCTCCAGTATGGAGATTGATCTGTCAGGAATATGCCATATATTTTGCATATTTTTTGTTCTCCCTCCTGGAAAGTGAGTATCATCTTCAGTAAAGTAAGCATTGTAAAGTAAGCATGGCAGATAATCTGATTTACAGAGAAAGCTTTCTTTCAGAAATGGAGTGATGGAGATAGGTCTCTCTATTTCTCCTCTTCCCCTCCAGAAATGAACCTCTAGGGTGTGTATTTAGGGAAACCAGAGCATATCAGGGGGCAATATGGAGATGGGAGATCAGTATTTCTGTGGCATTGCAATCAAGGCAGAAAGAAGGCAATGCAAGAATGACACTTGAAACAATAATATCCAAAAATGCCTTCCAGAGTGAGGCATACAATTGCATATTTGGATATCTACAAAGTGCTCTGTATTCTGAGTAGTTCCTCTGACCCGTGTGGTGCACAATGAGGTGCAAGGTCTATTTCAAGTGGTTGTGAGTGTTTACAGGTTTTTGTCCAAGTGCCTACAGTATTTGGAAACTTCTGTGTGGTGCGAAGGTTGCAACCAGGATTTAGATATGTTCAGATTGTCCTTTTACCTGCCAAAAGAACAGATTAAGAATTACTTTGGTGATGGGAAAAGCTTAAAACCAGCACACTAGCTCACTTTGGATGTTAATATAGTCTTTAGCCATAGAGGGAAATCTAAGCTTTGCTGAAGGCACAGCATGCCAAGGTATATCTAATAGTGTGTGCTTAACTCTGTTGCCTGGGAGCTTTTATATAATGCAATTGCCAGGAAAATTGACCTCGTGTTTTGGGGGTTTTTTTTCTTCCTTTGGGTTTGGATCCTGCCTCACATCACCTACATGTGTAAAGCTGGCAATTTTCTGATTTATCAATTTAAAAAACACTTAGTTGGAAAAAAGGGAAAAACTTGTGATAAAAACATTGTGCTCTGAAATAGCTGCTGCATCAGAGGATATGAGCGGGTTATTGGTGTAATAAGGACCCTTCTATCTGTGAACACAATGCCATATAACAAATACCATGAGCCAAATTAGCAGCCAGTTTCTGATAGCTGAACTCTCCAGTTCTAAACGCTACTGCAAGCATTCTGTTTAGGAAGAGAAGCTAAAAGCTTCTCAAGGGTACATAGAAAATGCTGATCCTGAATGTATAAATGGACACATTTTAATCCTTAAGTTATTAATTATTTCTCATGATTAATTGTAATTATTTTATTACTACTCCAGACCCTTGGGTCAAATTGCACAGTGAAGTCAGTAAGAAGTTTGCTGAAGAATCTCTTCATTTGGTATGTTATCATTTTTATATTGAATATTGGACATTATCAGTTGCATTAAAGAGACCAACAGCTATCATGCCATCAAATTACAGGATATATTTGGGTTGCAGGCATAACTCCATTTCTTTCGGAGTCATCAGATATAACTGTAAATTTAATGCACAAAGGGAAGGGGAAATAATCACTTCACCCACAAAGACATAAATTAAATGTTACCCCACGCTAAAAAATGTAACCTTAAATGAACCTTGCGTTAAAGAAAATTCAGTGCTTACGTTCGGTATATGTGGTCTGTTTGAGGGAATGGCAAGTACTTTCAGATTAGTCTGAATTACTGAGGATTTTCTAGTGGGAAAGCTGGGTACCCCCCTCCCTCTGGCCAGCTCTACCTTCCCAATACCTCTCTTCCCTCAAGTAACCAGAAGAATCTTTTTCTTCTGAACATACAGCTTGTAATATACATAAAAGCAGAGTTTGCTTTGATCCTGACAGCAAAACGTTTATTTTTAAACTGGAACTGGGCTGTTGTCCAGCAATGCTCTTTCCTTTGCATCATGCCCTGCGTTTCAGCTCCACAGCCTGCCTGGGTGCAGCTGGACCTGCTGCAAGAGGGACCTGATGGGTCCTGCTGAGCTCACTCCCTCCCTCTCCCCCCATTCCTCCTTCTCCTCTCGTTTTGAAATTCAAATTGAATGCAATTTTCAGCTCATTTGAGCCAGAATATACTCTTGCTGAGCTTCAGTGGCTCTTAAATTCAAACTCGAAGGAGAAAACAGATATCATCTGTCACTGAGGGTGGGAAAGGGTGTCCTCCCCACCCTTATTCATAGAAGACAGGGCTTCACTGACTAATTCCAGTCTTTCTGACTAATCACTCACTGACAAACTAATCAGCTAATCGATGTGACTGGTTTCTTGTAGTTTGGTCTCTTTTTGCAGGTTTTTTTTGTTTTTTTTTTTTTAATATTTTATTTCTCCAGCCTATTTAGAATTTATATTTAAAGTCCTAGAAGTGCCCTAGCTGAAACGCCTGTGTCTGCATTTGACTGTGCCTGCTCGTTTCTGGTCTCATTGTCCCCATCACAGACTATTCCCTCTAAGGAACTACAGATGAAACTACCTGGAATTGGACAGCTGGCAGAGAAGAGGCGAGGGATGAGAAATTTTCAGAAGAAGATTAAAAATTAAGAAGGAGCAAAGGGAGAAAAAAATGTTAAATCATTAGGTGTTGTTATGTCAGCAGGTTTAGGACAGGGTACATACCACAGCTACTTGTTCTATAAAACCTGTTTCATATTAACACGTGGCAATATCTCGTGAGTCATCTGGTGGGAGTCCTGCTTAAAAGTAGAGAAGAAATACGACTCACTTCTTTTTCCTTACTGCTTTATTTTTTTTTCTAGTATTATTTTTGAAATAGAAAAAGACTCTTGCAAAGAGGTCCATCTCCTGCTTTTATTGTAGTCCTTTACAAACTTCTCTTTCATTTGGTGAAAATAGCATTGGTTTGGAGATTGGCAACTACCTTCAAAGAGAAATGTTGCAAGAAACAGCAATTTGGTAGGTGTAAGGGCAAAACTAAAGTACAATCTGTGCTAGTAGAGAAAATAGGTTGCTTAATCTAACAGCATGATAGCATTTTAATGCTGTTCTGAGCAACATCAGCTTGCCACTGGCAAAAATCCTCAACCTGAATTTTTGTTGCAACAAAATCTACATGCCAGAAAGAACATCATAAATAGGTGACATAAATAGAATAAACAGGACATCTGCAAATGGTGAGAACATACTGAAATCAGACTGGAGAGTATATCAAACACCATGCTGGTCCCTTAATTGTTTTATATGTTCTAAAGCCTTGATATATTACTAAACCTGGCTTTAGGCTGGAAACTGCTGTTCTGGAGCTTTCTTGGTGCCTGTTCCTTGTTCCTCATGCTGGGCAAGGGTTGGCGTACAGTCAGGGCCCAATCCTGCAAACAGTTTTGTGTTTGGTGTGCTAAATCAACCAAACTGAAATGAAACTCTGGGGCAATATTCAGTTATCCCTTTGGTTACCTTATGTACTTCAGTTTAGTGTGTGGTAATCCCTAAAAAAAACCCCAAAAACCAAGAACCCACCTTTTTGCTGTGGGCTGAACCAAAGCAGAGATTGTGCCTGTGCAGTCGGCTGACTGGTTCATGACAGATGCCTTGCACAGAAACCACTGTGCTGTTATGGCAGAACTGGGGTATTTCATATTGGAGGGCACTGGCAGAAAGCAGGACTGAGGGAAGAGGGCACTCTTGGTGTGAGATCAGAGAAGCCCAAGCTCACCTTTGGGACTGGGCCCCTCAGGACACAAGCAGTGTTGAGGGACCTGGATCTGGATCACAGTGGAGCGAGTTTAGAGAGGTCATACGTGCATGGCTGCCAGGGTAGCAGGGATTGATTTTCAGTGGTCTTTGTGGTCATAAATGTTAGCCCTGATGCATTTACAGTTACTGAAGCAGGGGATTTTGGAATCTTTTTTAAATTAGGCAATTAAATTCAGGTTAAGCCCTGTTTCAGGCACCTCAGTGCCTCTCTGAATCTTCCCCTTTGTCTCCAGTGGCTCTGTTAGACATTGACACTGACCTGCAAAGCTGGTACTACAAGTCCTTATAAAGAAATCTGATATTCCTATGGAAGTTATGATGATATATGTAAATCAGCTGCCATATCCACACTGTCACCTCTTCAGCTGAAAAAGAAGGGCAAATCATTTCGTTGGTAGCTGCTGAAACCGTCAGCTGCACTGTCATTAATACTATCCCTCTTTCCTGGAAACTCAATATGTCAGCTACCTGATGTACCCTTCCTCTTCCAAGAATACATCTCTCCATTCCTTCAAATTCTTCTTGAGCTGGGACCTCCCATCTGCCAGTTTATTGTTCTTCTTCTGGCCCATTAGTTTTCCCTCCCATTCTTTTTCCATAGCCTCATGTGTTTTTAATAGAATTTTATCATGTGCTAATAACCAGAGTATCTGAGCTCTATACACAAGAGTATAAAGTGATGTGTCCAACTGCTGTGATGCCTTTTTGTTTTATCCCTGCTCTTTCTTGTGGAGAAAACAGTGTGAGGTAAGGCATTAGGTTTCGAATTTTTGTATTGCTGTTATATACACCTACACCGTCATGACTCAGGTCACCCTCTGACTTTAAGGCGTCCCCTTGACCATCCTGTTCAGACTTGGTACTGGATCTGTTCCTCAGAGAGCTGCCCAGATTTCTTTTGCTGCTCTCTGAGAAGAGAATGTCCATGTCGTGTCAGTTCTCTTAAGCAGGTGTTCCCAGACCCTCTCCCTAGATGCCATAGCTGAGCTTCTTGGTTCTACACCCCCTACTCTGTCTTGCTGCTTAACCCTGATCATCCCAGAGATCTTCCATGATCAACCCCCTCATCTGTAATTGATCTTACAGAGGTCACATGGCAGCTGAAGCATTTGCACACAGATTTCATACTGGGATGTGTATAATATAAAGTGTTTTGCTTTGCAGAAATACAAGAGCCATAGTAATCCATGTGATATAAGAAGTGCATCCCTCCTTGCTTGGGTGGCTCTCCTGGATCTCACCCCTCCCTGATCTACCTTCCAGCTCACAGCCATCTCCCTTGGTTTGTGCTTGGGCCGTATATGAAACTTTCCATTCCAGAAAGAAGCAAAACTTGGACTGGTGTCAGTAGACATTGGCATCAATGGAATTCTTACATAAGTCTCTGCAATTCACCTTTTTGTTGTAGCACCTCTAAGTTTTCCACTTGAGTAAACTCTTGTGCACCTCCGGAATCCTATTAGAGATTTCCACATAAGAAATTACTGGATTGCAAGTCACAAACCTAAAATTCTTGCCTCATCCTATAAAAAACCTGTTGGTGTGTCTGTGTGGGTTATGCTGATATAGGTATGTATCCACAGAAAGAGTTATGTTTTAGGATATTTCATCAGTAGCAGATTACTTTCTGTTCTTCAGAGGTCATTGGGTGACCTGCAAGTTCTGCTTGATTATAACATGCTCAGTGGAGATCACAATTTCAAATGAATAAACAAATGCTAACCAAAACGTGGATGTTTGTGGTATTGAACTTAGAATCACGTTTTTGCATTTTAATTTTGTGTCTACTTTTAAGAATATATATATTAATCCTTCTGATTGGTTCTTTTTCATTCTCTATACATAAAAAAAAAATTATTTCTTTATAATGCTTTGAGAAATTTAGTAGTGTAGAATCAGAACTCTTCTCTTTGATATTATCTTTAAAACTGCTATTGACTTGAACAGGATTAGTGGTCATGTTAGGGAGCCTGAGAAAGTGGTCTCACAGCTCACACAGCATCTGATTCCTGAATAACAAACCTCGCCAAGTCAACTATTTCCGAGTCACGTTTTGTTCCATCCTGGCACAAGCCAGACTGGGACAGCAAATTGTATCACCAAAGAGGCATGACATGAGCTGTGTGTGTATTTCCACCACCCTTTGTATTGCCATGGCAACAATAGTTTTAATTATGGAGAGCCAAAACAGTAAGTTGTATATCAGATGGGGCTCAGTTTTCCCTGTGGACAGAACTCTGATTAGCCACTGGAGAAAAGCTTTGTATCTGGTTTTTCCTTCCAGTCTGGATTTTATTCTCTGCTTTAGCAGCCGGCTTGTTGTGTTCAGGGTGTGAACTTGGAAGGGCTGCAGCCAGCTGGAGGACAGTGGCACAGAGGGAGATGAAGTGACCCTCCTGTCTCAGGGGCAGCCTGGCACCATGCTGGTTTGGGTGTTTAGGAATGGTTATCTCACTAAAGGACTGCTCTTGGCTTCCCTCTAAACCACTGGAGATCTGCAGATTTGGAAGGGGCTGGTGTGAAGTGATGTCTAATAATCAGCGTTGACAATGTTCAAGACTGTGCTTAGGGGGACAAACAAGGAGCTCCACTTCAGCAGTACACATGAAAATTTGCAATCTACATTCAGCTGTGGGAAATAAATATGTCTGCATGGTAGGATGCAGGTCAGGAGTGGCTTTTTTCACAGTGGCAAGGGTGTTGTTTAAGTCACTTGTCCAAAGGGGGGCGTAAGGGTAGTGACCAAAAGTATGTCTGTCACTCAGGAAATTCATTACAAGAGAGGAAAAACTTCATTGATGTAAATCAGTGTCTTCATATATATATATAAAAATCAATTATGTGGCCTTCTAATGCACTAATTTCCTATTTTGTTTGAATTGTGGCCCTTGGTGGTTATGGTAAGGTTGCTTCTAGGTTTGTGAACTTCCTGGCAGTGTTTGAAGACTAGTGAGGTTGGAGAAGAGATGGAACCCTGTAACTTTTATGTGGATCTGGTCTCTGATCTGATCTTCAGATCCTCTGTGATTCCAAGTGTATGTTTTCATGGTCACAGGTCTAAGGCAGTGTCATCAGGAGATCATGGCCAGAGATCATGATATCACAGAGAATGAGATCACACTGTTAACTAGAATTTCAGTTATTCAAATGTGGTTCCAGGATGCAGGGAGCTCAGCAAGAATGTAGGCTAATCTTTAGACTTGCTGAATCTATAATCTCACTCCTTACAGTGTTCCGACAGCTTTTTTTTTCCAACACACAACCCTGAGCAAGTAATCCACTGATGATTTTATTGTCAATTCACTTGTACTTCTTGAAATTTAAAAAGTCCTGCCTCCAAGATTTTTATTTTGGAATTTGAGATCCTAAATTAAGCCCTCTTATGAAAGAAAATAAGAAGTTTGCTGTTGTTTTTAATAAGATTTTACGGTAAGTATGGCAACAGCAAGTCTGTCAGTCCCAGCTTTACTGCATGTGTCTAGCTCTGTGTTTTGAGACCCTTGAAATATCTGGTTTTAGGACATCAGCAGGGGGCTAATGAAAAGGCTTTGTTGATTTTAACGAATTGCAAGCCACTGTAGCCAAAATAAATATAATCTGCTTTTTGGATTAGTTGTCACACATGATTTTACCTACTAACAGTGATTAAAGAACCCTGGTGGAGCAGAAGCATAGCTACTCTCTGGTGACTCTTGCTAAAATAGCAATAAACAGAAGTAAATAAAGTGTTTGGGCATTAGTTATCTTTAATAAACACTGACACTGCATATGATGTTTGCTTCAAAAACCTCCATTGAGTACAGACCACGGTGTCACTCTTTCTAGCACAGAGAGCACTGGTCATTTTAGATGTCTGGAAATTATGGCATGGACAAGCCATGTTCTTGGCTGCTGTTCTTCCTTGAGAGGTGCCTGCACACCTCATGGAGGCTTCATCATCAGTCATTTTCATCCAGCAGCAGACACCAGAACCAAAGTCAAAAATATCCCAAACTAGAGGGATTATGACAGAAAAATTAAGGGAGTGTTAATTCCTTGAGTAATTCTGCAACCCCTGAACTGCTGTAATTCCATCCAGTTAATGAACGGTGCTGGTCTCTCTTACCTTTGTCTGTGTAAGCTGATGAACAGAATTACTTGCCCCTGCTGACATCTTTTATCCCTGATATTTTCCCAGTAATCAAGGGTGGGTGTGTTTCCTGATCCCCTTCACATTTGTTGTGAGAGGCAACAATTACACTTGATGGTATTGTACTATTCCTTTGGACTCATTGTTGCTTTTAATCAGTGGAGAGAAGAAACAAAACAAAAGAAAACATGTTCCTTCTTCCAAGAGGGAATTATTGCTGCAGTACTGAATGTTGGGAATAATTTTAGGTTCTTTTGTAGGGGGGGATAACACCTTCCTGAGAGTGGCAGAGAAATGAGGAATTTCCCAAAAGCAACAAAGAAATTTAGGGCTTTGGAAATTAAAAAAGAAAAGTCAAGGGATAGCAAAACATTAGAAATATTAGTTTAAGGAAAATTCTACCAAAATAGGGAAGGGCTGTGAGCTTCCTTACTTGTATTCATCTGTTCCTAATTATACACCCCTGGAAGGCACATGGCACTGTTCTACGAGGAGTTTATCTTTTATACGACAGCTACAAAACTTCAAACTCTATCAAGTAAACATCCTCAAGCTTTTTAACAATTGTATAACTCCTTTTTGATGTATGGAGTTAGATTCTTGTTGGTACTTTTGGTGAAGTCACGCAGCAGTTACAACCCACTTCTGGCTTTATAGTCTACGGAAAAAATTCTTTGATACTGTGCTCAGGAAGGGAGTAAGACCCACCAAGGACCCATCCTTCTCTTGGCTGGCAGTCATTAGGAGTTTGGAGGCTTGCCCAATGGTGTAATTCAAGTCTTGACTGCATATCTTATTGGTTTAAAATAGGAGCCAACTCCAGCTCATCAGTTTTTGCTAAGAAACTATTGATTGTGATTAGCAAGCTTAAAAATAATTACCTTGTGTGTTCATTGCTATCTTTGGACATACTCTCATATTCCTACTGTTATAGAAAGTATTGAGTAGCACAATAGGACGATTTGATGACTAAGGTGTTACACTGAGTGGGTGGCAGAAGGGTATTGAGCACGTCTTAATTGTTCCATCTCCTGGGCATGGAACAAACACACAACACCTCCACAGGGGAGAAAACCCCCTGGCCTTGCTGAAAAATACAAAGTGAGCTATCCCTCATGCCCTTGTTCCCATGAGGGAAGGTGTATCCAGTCCTTCCCAGTTGCAGTCATGACTTTCACCACGTTTTTGGCAGAAGCCACAAGCCCACCCGGCAGCACAGGGGTAAAACACTGGTTTGCTTAGCACCTGGGGAAGGGGGGGATGAGTTTCACCTGGGTTTTAACACCTATTTTACAAGGCTGGTGGTGCTGATTCATACCTGGTTGCAGTTGACCCTGAATGACTGACTCAGTTAATGATAAGTGAAAGCCTGTCTGCCTCTGGAAGGTGTTGTTCTGTAGTGGGGATGGTTTCAGCAAGCAGATGAATTTTTGTTACTTACAGCCCTGTGTACTCATGTGAACCAGCATCCACTTCAGTCTGCTCGAGCCTGGGCCACCTGCTGAGAGTGTGAGAAGAGCTCCCTATAGCTGTCAGACTCCTAATGCAGGTCAGTAGCCACTTCAGGGGGCCACCTTCTCCAGGCTTTAACTCTTGAACACCCCTGAAAAAAGCTGATTTCTTGCCATGTTATTCCTCTCTGCTGAGAGAGCCAAGGAAGAATAGCTTCTATATTTAAGTTTCGTATCAGAAGTTGGGTGGTGAGACTGCTGTATTTGTGTTATACATATATGTATGTGTATTTTTTAATGCCTATGGGATTGCTTTACCCTGTTCTTTAGGTTTCATATCCCTTATGAATGTGTCAGTAATTTTAAATCCATACCAGTCTGTGATGCCCAGTCTGAGTTTGCATTTTCAATTTCTATTTCTCCTAAAGTTTTGTTCTCGTATTGGTTTGGTGTGTACCAGGTTGGCCCTTAGCAGGCACCTCGCAGGTGTGTGGCAGATAATGTGGGTTAGAAAGTCAATTATGGAGAGTTTAGCAAGCAGGGCTGCTTGCTGCAGGGCCATGCCTATCAAACGTGGTCTCATTGCACAACCACATAATGATGTGTGGGGCAGGGTGCAAGCTCTTCAGGCCAGCTGCAAGTCATGTGAAAGTGAGCGTGTTTGCATGTCCAGGAGAGGGATTTATTCCAGCTTTCTGTGTATTAATGGCAGCTTTTGAAATTCAGAGCTAGAATTTACCCACGGGGAGGAAGGAGAAGTCACTTGGTAAAGTATTTCCTGGTGCTATGGTCTTCACATCGGCACGGGTGGGAGAGGTGAGTTCCAGGTCACACCAGAGTGACTTCCTCGTGTGGATTTTGGAGTTGGTGATTTGTGTTACTTCAAGAACGTAAAAAGAATGAATCACAAGGCTTTCGTACAGTAGCAAGGGAAACTGTAGGCATGTTTGCTCTGGTCTGTGTCAGAGGAGGAGATGCAGATGGACTGCAGCTGCAGCTCTGGGAAAGCAGGGCTGGAGCAGGAGCCCTGAGGACTGGCTGAGGAGCTGGGAACCTGGTGGGGAAGGTGCAGCTCTTTTCCTCTTGCTGTTCTACAAGGCATGTTACAGCAGCCCTGAGGAAGGTCTGGGCTGCATGGACACAGAATAGGTGATGGTTTGGGAAAAAAACTTCACTGACAGGAGCTTTATGCACTAAAGGTATAGTCATATGCTTTTTAAGACTTTTTAAGTGACTCTAAATCTGTGTACTGCAGTAATTTCTCTATAAACATCTGTGTAAACTCTCAATAGACTTGTACATGTAAGCTATGTATTCCAAACAATTTGCTTCAAAAATATTTGGCCTGACTGAGAAAAATATTGTTAGAAGAGCTATTTCTTTCCCCTGCTGTGTTTAAAGGGGCTTAGACTTGAGTCCTTAAATTCAGCATCCTTTATTAGCATGGTTCCAGGATTCTCAAGGATTTATATAAGAGCTTGAAACATTTAAAACCAAATGCTACAGCTTTAAAATTTGATCTAGTGGGCTGTAGAAGTGAATGTTGTATCGCTTTTCTATGGGTTGAGTAGCTTCTCCTTCACCCAGGAGACTGCAATGTATTTTTTCATGTCTGGCTGTCTCAGCCACTTACGTGGCTGCAGCTACTGCAGTTTCTGAATGTTTCACAACACTTTGGGGAGAATATTATTACCTTACACATATCACTGGCTCATGAATGCTGAGTGCCACAGATGAACTTTGGCAAGGTGTTTGGTACCTTTTTTTGGAAAGAAGAGCATGATTTTAGGACAAGTTTACTAACATATAATGAGCAACTGCAGATTTTGCACATCAGCAGGGAATGCTGGGCTGAAACCTATCAGGTCTGGGTCCTGGAGAAGCTGAGCTATCACAAATCCTCCATTTATTTATTTGCCATGTGAATATAACTGTTATATAACCTATTGGCTGTATAAGCAACTTGTGATCTTACACAGTTATTTTTTTCGTTATATTTAACACTTTTCTTGTCAGAAGCAGTGAGAAAGAGGGAGAAATACTTCTGCTTGTATGTAAGCTGATGGCTTCGAGTCAACTACAGCTGCTAGCCTGGCAATAATTTGAATTGTTGAAAACACATGGAAAGAGTAAAATATAAGAAGATACAGGCAAAGAAAAGAAAATAATCATCATCGGGGATGTTTCTTTAGAATAATTTTATTAAAAGTTCATGTTTGAAGTGATGTCATCCTTTTAGTTCTCTGTATTTAATTGTCCTTCTGAAGCTTGGCATAGCTATTCTGATGTGCAGCAAAAATATTACATCAAAGGTGAACGTTTGAATCCTGGCTAGAAAATAAAACAGAGCAGGGGAGAGAACCCCCAAATGACTAAGAGTTCTTGAAAGTAAAATATAAAAGAAAATAATAATTTCTCTCCCCTGACAAATAGTTCAAAAAGTAGCCAACAGTTTGGATCTGGTATGTCACATTGCATACAAATGAAGAAACTGTCACCATCAGTTTCCTTTGAAACCTTTTGATCTTATCTTCTGTAGTTAAGGGCATGTGACTTGATCAGGGCTTCTCTTCTCTGATACATAGTCAGAGTCCTGATCTACTAAAATATGTGACAGATTTCTCCACTCAGTTGGTACTTTTTTTTTTTTTTTTTTTCCCCTTTCCCTTCAGTCTTTGTCTGGGTGGATATGATTTACCCTTCCCTCTCTATCCAGGAAAGCCAGTTTCCTAATTTGGCAATTTCCAGCTAATCCTGTATATTATGTCTTAGTCAGAAGTAGTCTTACACCTTTCTCTCCACTTGACAGGCTAGCTTGTTTTTCTAGTAAGAACAGGGAAGTGTCATTATGATTTTTTGTAAAGACACATTAAACACTCAGTTCTTCTAAAAAGTCATGGTATATGTGTTCTGACAATTAATAAAGGATTTTTTTATTGCAGAATACCTTTGAATAGGGGATTTGAATATACATAGTTGGTAGCGTCAGGGGACAGCAGTGGAAGGAAAAGCTTTCTAAAGACCTCTAAAACTTAAAAAGCACAGCTTTTATGAGGTATTTGTATTTTTAATGCAAACTATAATAGCCAATGTGCTTTGCTTGATTAATGTTTTGGTCCAGAACTAGTGAAGTCAAGGAGAATTTCCCCAAAGAGCTACTGTGGCAATTGATAGCAAATCTATTTTTGACTTCTCTCTGGTGAGACTGCTCTATGAGGGAGAGTTGAAGTGAGAACTAAGCCCCAGGAAGTCTTGCTGGGCTCCTCTTTGCAGGGTAAAGACTGGAACGAAATATCCTTGGGCCCATGTGTTGTCACTGCTGGGCTTTGCTGCCCATTTCCTGGTGTAGGACACCCTTCTTGGTGGTGGCCATAGGGTGGTCCTCTGGGACCTTGGGAACAAATTTGCAAAATTTGTGTGGTTTGCAGCAGAGACACGGCAAGTTTCAGTTTTTTACTTTACTTTTTTTTTTTTCCTATGGAAAGTAAGCAGATTGAGATGTCCAGGAATTGTTTCTACCCAAACTTGCTAATCAGAAAAAATGCTGGAGTTGCTGAGTCGAAAGCAGTGTTTAAATGGGTGAAGGTTACTGGGCAGTGTTTGCACAGGAGGTCAGGCTGGGTGATCTCACTAAGCCTGCAGCCAACTCCACCCCGGAGCATGAGGTGCAGCCTTGCGAAAGGGGAGTTCTCAAAGAGAAACCCACAGATTTCCAAGCTTATAGGAGCAACTGTGGGCTGTCTTCTGGCCGGAGCAAGCTCTGCTCCGTTTGTTTTTCCTCTTGGCTTCTGTTGTCATCGTGTCCCTGTTAGGAGTAAGGAGCTGAGAGAGACTGGAAGCGAGCCTGCAGCGTGCCAGCTCGTCTGGGAGGTGCAGCTGGGTAAAGTGCAGCAGCAAATCCTTTGCAGTGCTGGTACTGGGAGCTGTTTCAGAGAGCAAGTTTGTTCTCCCGTGGTTTTAACACCGCAAACGTTTTAGATGCTTTTACATGGTGAGTGTCCCTCTGCCTGCTGAGGTGGCTTGTGTCACTGTCCCTCAGAGCTGGGAAAAGGTGGCTGTTGGGCTGCTTGTACAGAAAGGTCTCTTTGGGAGTCTTTGTGTAAAAATCTAGGAGAACCAGAATATGTGGGACTGGTCCCAGCAGCATGTTCTCTTGTTGCTGAAGTCCTCAGCTCTTAGTTCCTGGTTTAGCAGAGTAGGAGAGCATGTCAGGACAACCTGCTGGGCCCCAAATAAATATGTGCTTAGGGTTTGCTTCTGGGCTAGCAAAGCTAACATGACTTTTTATCTGAAGAATTTGGCTCTTCCCATATCTGGGGTTTTTCCTCTTCTGTTGTGTGATGAGTAAGAGCTGGTATTCAGAAGTGGTGCCTGAGGAGTGATGGGTTTGGTTTCTGAGTGGAGCTGAAGGTACTAACAGTTGGGATCTTGGAATGCAAATAGTACCCAAAAATGGTTTTGCCTTTTATCCATTAACACAAACACAGCTCATATGTTTCAACTATTAACATGGGTGAAAAATCAGTCTTCCTGATGCTCCACAGGACTACCAGTTCAGTATGTTCTGGATGCTTCAGCTCTGGAGTGTGAAAGGCCAGGGACAGAAGCACCAGGAGGTTACTTCCATCTGCAGATTTTTGCAGATTCTGCAGCATCCTTTATCTGGGATAGGTAGCACCTCATCAGCCAGCTGCCAAGCAAAAAGACCTGCTGGTGGTGCTGAGGGACCTGACAGACTCCCTGTTTCCCCATCAAGGAGTGAGGATGTGGGGGAATGTGATGCTTAGCACTCAGCACCAGGGCTTAAGAGATCCAGAAAATCACCCAGTTGCTTTCAAGGCCTATTCTGCAATCAGCATAATTTCTTAGGAGGAGGAGATTTTACTGTGGAACAGAAGGTTGGGGAATGGAGTGTTTGTAAAGGGAAAAGTAATTCTGTTTATGGGCTGGGAGTCAAAGACCTCTTTGGATGTGATCACCTCTATCTGTCTGCTTTGCATACAGGAGGCAAATTGTTGGATGGTTTAAAACGTTGGCTATTTTATAATAATACTAATAACAATTTAAAGATTTTCCCAGCTGTTGGAGGACGCAATTT